GACTCACAAGGCAGGATTAGAGTTGTGTCCTTGACGTTCACCAAAAGCCAGAAAGTCTTATTTCGTAAGTAAAACAATCCTTTTGCAAACTCTCTAATATTCACTTCCTATAATTGACTCTTGTTCCAAACAACATCAGAATCTCTCTGCTGGCTTGGACCAAAGAGCATCCCTAGTCCAGGCTCTGTCACTGACCTTGATGGTGACCAGGTGCCTAGAGGTGAAAGTAAGAACAAGATGAGCATGCAGTGCTACCTAATGAGCTTAACAGTGTGTTGACTCACAGATTTTGCTTCTGTGGCTAAAGGCCTTTGGTAGATTTTTCTTCTGTTAGTTTGTCTGATTGTAACATCGTGTAGCAGCAAAATTCCATAGTTTAAATACATGTTGCAGAGAAGTACCTTCTTTTCAACTGATTTTCAACCTGTCGTCTTCTGGTTTCATTTGATTTGTATTAGTCCTTAAATGGAAAGAGACTTTTTCCCTATTTACCGCCTCTGTTCCGTACATCATTTCAGAAACTTCTGTTACCCCTTCTTTCACTCCAGTCCCTTCCTTTCCAGGCGGAAGAGTCCCAGTCAATCTATTCTTGCCTTGTAGTGAAAATGCACCACACCTTTGATCACCCTTGTCATCTTTCTTTCTATGACTTTCCTATTCAGAGCACAGTCAAGTTTGTCTCACCTAGGACACACAAAAATCTCCATTTGTAACAAGCGGTGAGTGAACTTCAGATAACTTCAGAAAGAATGCATTAGTGTGGCTGTTAGTTTAAATCACTTCACTTTCTTCAGATCCAAAGGTTTTTCCCTCCTGTGCTCACAGCAGAAGCCTGTGAATCCCACAACCAGTTTCTCAGGTGAGACTCATGGTTATCCTCCTAAATCATCTCCTTACTCTGCCTTCCCTCCCCCTCATTTCATAAACTGTGATTAGCTCAACTCTAGTGGGAAAATGGCTGTGGTGCCTCATGCCAGCGGATCCATCCTCCAGTGAGGACCAAAGAAATCTTAGTTACTGCAAGAAACTTGATGCTTACAAAGAATGCAGTTGTATCAAGGTTTACTTGTAGGCACCTCCTTTCCACTGAAGATTTTTATTGTTAAAATTTAAGTCTGTTATCTACGAGAGCCTCATTCAGAGCCCAAGTAATCAGAAAGACTTCTATAGGCTTTACTGACCATTGCTTCTGACCCATAAGGAATCACAAAAGGTTGAACCAGATGGTGATACTATATCACTGAAAAGCACCTTGCATCTTAGAATCATAGAATCATTTGGGTTGGAAAAGACCTTTGAGACCATCGAGTGCAACCAAACAGTCTTGCAACAATAAAGTCCACCAAAACTAGGACTGACAAGAAACTAACACTAAAAAGATGTCTTAGCCACCAGGAGATTAATATATCTGTGTTATGCCAGCATTAGCACTTACTGAAACTCTACTGCCACAAATTGTAGAGAAAGCACATCTGCAGATTTCCAAATCGTCAGTCAAATCCCATACTAAACAGAGACAATCACCATTCAGTTTAAGTGAATCTTTGAGCTCGTTTGCAATAAATCTTGCAAGCCTTAAACTTTTATTGTGCCAGCACTTACTCTGCTGATTTACAGCCTGACTAAAATGAAGAATCCTCATGGTTGACTCAAATAACATCCTCTTACAGGGTTTCAGAAAGACAGGTGAAGAAGGTTACATAAGGCAAAGTAATGGATGGAGAACTGGTGCGTGACAACCTATTCATCTCCTCACTTGTCACCCAAGTGCTACTCAAAGATTTTTCTTAACTTCAGGTCCATACTTGTACTTACAAAATCTTTTCCTGACAATTTCTAATCAAAACATATGGTGATGATAAGGAAAGACAGTTTATTTGACAGTTATAGTGCAATAACTTAGTATCCCACAGTAGTTTCTAAGCTATTCAGAATGGAAAAGGTTTTAAAACAAAAGAGTAGGTCCAAAGCTTGCTGAAGTCTAGACCCAAGTTCCCAGCACCAATCTGTCTGCACTGATGGAAGTATGATAAACAACTCGAGAATGCCAGATATCATTAGGGATCTGTTTTTGATATCTACATATGAATCTCTCTCTAGAAATTCCTCTAGCCGCTCTCCCTCCCCCCCGCCCAATTTTATGTTTTTACTATTTTGTAATAAGAGATGCCAAAGGCACAAACTAACAAACTGGGAAGCATACAAGGATATTGAGTCCACTTCTGTAGAGCTTTAGCACAGCATAATATGCCTAATGAAAGACACTAGAATGGCTGTTGGTTATCTGTGTCTTTAGACGACTGTACAATTTAAAAAGTAAAAGGAGAACAGTACCAGAAGGAAGAAAGGCAAATCAACTTAACAAAAGAATTAGACATAAGAAGGCTGTGACAACACCACAGAAGAGGTCACTAACAGAGACAGGACTAGGGTCAGGGTTCTACCTAAGGCTCTTGATTACTAATTCACCGCTATCTTGCAGGCCAACCTATCCCTTGGTAATCAGGATGAGATCATTTCATCCAACTCAGGAAAATTGCCTGGGATTACTGTGATTCAAGAATACGTGTAGATAAGCGGGAAGTGTGGCAGATTGCTGAAAGACAGAAATAAGTTATTAGATACAGAAGGCAATGCAGAGGCAGCCATATGTAAATGAAATATGGAAAGACAACCGAAAATGAGAACAAACCCAAAGTACTTAAACACAAAACAGAGATGTGCCATTAAAAAGATGTTTTCTTTTGAATTAAAACAGAAAAGAAATAAACTGTTAAAAAAATCTCTTCATTTGCTTCCATCCTGAAAATCTCCAAATTTAGTTTATATTTTCCCTTTTCCATTGTTTGTGCTTGGAAAAGTTCAGAATACAATGGCGTGTATGCCAAACCAAGCCAGTATTCAACATCACTTTCAGGCTGACCTACATCTGCCTGCTAGGACCAAAGCCAACTCTCCTCATTTGTCTGCCTGAACTTCTCCATCTATGCCAGCTATTTTACCTGGCAGCTGCCAATACAGGGACTTTTTGCGTCTGACATTTCATTTTCACGTGGATGAAATCAAATAGTAATTCTGTGATCTACTCACCCGAATCACAGTCTTCACTAATTTAAAACAATATAACCCTCCTACACACATACTGTACTGCTGTCAGCTAGGAGTAAACCTGGTACAGCTTCTCAGGTGTAGTACCCTCAGTCAGGTATGGCTAGAACAGATGCTGCCTGGCCTGGTCAGAGTGATCAGAGCATTTCATTTACATTGGTACAACCCACACTCCTGTCCCAAAGCATCCAACAAATAAATAGGACCTCCACTGCTTTTTTCTTCTACAACATCCATTTCTGGGCACAGACCCATTTTACTGCAGCCTGCTTAATGCCTTTCAGAGTTATTTGCTGAACTCTGTAAGGCAAAGAGCGTCTTTCCTTGGTTCTATGTGCAATACCTATCGTGACAGTATTACTGCAGTACAGAGACTCTATAAGGTCACTGCAAGTTATTTGCACATTCCTCCTCTATGTTGTTTTATAATGGGGTTAAAGTCTTGTTTTGAGGCAAAACACAAGAAAAATGAAGACATTGGCATGTTATTGTGTAAGGTATTGTAGAACAGCCCCTCAAAACAGAATAGGACAATATACCCATGCAAGAATCCCCTGAAGAGCTGGACAAAATACTACAGCATGGACAGCAAGATACGTCAACAGATACTTCATGCAATGGAAGAAAGACCCTGCACAGTTTGTGTGGCTTTCTGCTCAGCTCACTAAGTTGACATCCAAAGTCTAGAGCTTTGTTCCTGTGTTCAAATGGTTAAGTCATAAAGGCTCTTTATTTCAATGGTTGTCTAAACTTTCCCAGTCAAAGCATACTGAGGCTGCCCTAGTGGGACTGAAGATTCAGTGAGGGTTTTGCAACTGTCTGTCCCAGAACGAAAGCAGCTTGGGGGTGAGCTTCTCCTGTGTGAAGGCCACAGGCTGAATCAGTCAGCAGTACTTTGTAGAGGCTGTGACTGAGAACAAGACTCCTTCTGACATGGATATGTGAACTTGCTGGCTGCAGGCGAGTTGTTTACTTGCATACTGAAGCAATATTCCAAAGCAGAGTTGCCCAAAGAAAACTTCCTGTCCTCAAAGCACTGCCTTTGATCAGTGTAAAGTGAAGGACAAGGGAGCAACAACTGACTCTACCCCTGTGGCCATTTCACTGTACTAATTCACGAATGAAAGGTATCTGTTATTTACAAGCATCGGCACCACTGTGTGCAGTCACGTCACAGTCTCCTAATGGACTGGAACTTTATTAGGATAGCATTTCTTAGCCACAAGTATACATGCACAAATTTGCAAATGCGCTTGGTTTTCTGGTCTAGTCTAAACAGACCGATTCCTCCAGAATAGCCAGGCTTGGGGACTTAAGGCGTCCTTGGCTACAGTTTTCCCCTAGCTGTGAATGATAAAGTTGGTCTACTTTGTAAATTAATTTAATGTTACAGAATGGAGGACAAAGAAGCAAAGCAAAAGAGATGAGCCCTGTACTTTACATTCAGCCCTTTCACACTCACTGTCTGACCTGCAACAGAGGGCAGTCTCCGCCCACCGTCTGTCAAGGCAGATAGAGCAGAAAAAAAGTAATAGAAACCAATACAAAATAAAAGCTGGAGACTGGCAATGGAAAGAGCTGACATGCAGTCATATGGCCAAGAAATTTAGCCCAAACCTCCTGAGGCCTACACAGTGCCTTCCACACAGGTCCTTCCTTGCAGTCACTTTCTTCATATACCAGCCTGCGAGCAGCAATAGCTCGACAGAAATATGCCAGAAACAGAACTTTCCTCATCCCTCAGTTCCTCCAATCTCTACCAAAAAATTCTCCCAGCCCAGTAAAGCGCTCTCTGTGTCATAACAGAGGTCACTTACCTTTGAACAGAGATTTTGTTCCAAACATAGACAAACCTCTCGCAGAGTCTACGAAGCCTGCAGTTCACCACTTACCTATCCAGAGTGTCCTGAGGCACTTTACTCCCACCAGCTCTGCTGTTGACACTGGCATTCTTGTTGGCAGTCATGGTCATTTCTGCTTTCTAGAAATGTGGATATCTGTGAGAAGAAAAGTCAATTAGGGTTTAAAAAGCCCAAATGACAATTAACCTTCAGGACTGCTAGAAGTACTATGTTGTATAAAGGCAGAACTCCAGGCTGCTTTTCATTCTACAAAATGCAATCAGTCTAGTTACGATCCCAAAAAACTAAACCCTATCTCTCTGCTGCTGCTCTTTCACATACATCCACAGCCAAGTTTGTCAGAGCCCAGTGCGATAAAGGGAGACATCTTATGGGAATTAGGTGTATGCTTCAAGTTCTGGCATGCCTGATGAACAGCTCTTAATATCAAGCTCACAAAATATCACAGGTTTGGTGTGGTTCTTCTATCATTGGTATACGCGGAGAACCCAGTAAGTGCACTGTGTGACACTTGCAAATACCATAGCTATGACTGGCATTTGGCCACAAAAAGCTGTTCCAAGGAGGAAAGAAACTTCGCAATTTTAAAGTGCAGCTCTATTACGTTTTCTAATAGTGAAATATAATCAACACTAAATATGTTGAATATAATTTTCAAATCTGCTTGTGATATGAAAATATCTACAAATAGTTTTCTCTCTTGGCCCCATGATTCTTTAAGTAAAATCATCTTGGGACACTTTTAAGACCTCTGGTAATATAAAGAATCACTACTAATTCCTAGTTATTTCCTAGCAATTTGGTAACAACCCAAAAGCTGTAAATTTAATTTCAGCCATGGTAAAACCTCTATATATCCAGTTAAGTGCCCAAAAGATGAGCCTTACTTCTGTAATGTTGCTGCACACTGGCAAACAAACAGTCCAGTACCATTATTTATTTTGCTCTCATCACTCTATCTTAATGGGAACACCATGCTGCAACTGAGGGAGAATATGATGATACGGATATGGGCCAGGATGTAATCCCCAGGACGTAAAAATGGTAACTTCTGCGGGTACGCACTCTGGGTGGTTTCTGAGACCCTCCTTAGTTTATAGGCTAAAATATCTACCATGTTTTGCAGCACTGCAACCCAGGGTCTGACCAGAACTACCAATTTTTACAACCATTAATGGCATAGTTCATGCAAAAATAGAGAGTATTACAAAACTTCTTGTTTACTCAAACCCACAGTAAGTCCAGACTGCTTGAGAAGCCAACTGTAATGTGATGCTAAAAGCAAGCTGGGTACTGACAGCACACAAAATCCTTGTACAAACAGACCCATCACAACAAGGAGGACATTCTCTAAACCACTTATTCCAAACTGTTCTGCCACAAAAAAGGTCAGCAGATCTCCTGCGGATTGCAGCTCCAGAGGCAGAGTCAATCATGCTGACCACAAACTCCAGGTCTGCTTGTCCTTGTCCAATTGTCTTGTGCGTATCAATTTTCCCAGATGAAGTGGTGACTTTTTTTCCCAATTGCTAACATTGTTTCTACACTGAAGCTCCTCAGATTCCTCCGGTGTCTGTTCTTGTTAGCGTTACATTATCAAGATAATGGGACTGTAAGGAACTGCCTGTTCCGATTGGAAAAGGGCTGCTTGGGACAAGAAATAAAACCCGCTGATTCTGGCCAAGCTTTCTAGCACTGTGCATTCCACAGGGAGCCAGCAGCTTTTTTAATGTTTTCCTCTCACCAGTTCAATGCCTTTACTGTGTTAAATCTGAATCACTTATTAGCAGTTTAGGGGAGAAGAACAACAGATATAAATGTGGCATAAGGTGAATAACAACTGTTAGAGTGCATTACAGTCATTTTCCAAGATCTGCTTTTCTGTTCGAGACCAAACAAGCTGAATGGACCCTCAAAAAGATGGGATACTGACCTGGCACATAAGAAAAAAAAAGACAGACAGAAAATAGCAACATAAAAGCACACTAAGACTCCACTTTTCCCATACCCAAAATCCAATGGAAAAAAAAAAACTACGTATACATATGCATCAGGGTCTTTGCTTTTCATGGGAGGTTTGCTATTCTCAAATTTCAGCTTCCCAAAAGCTTGGTAAAAACCCTTGTGGTCAATATAAAAAAAAAAGTGATTATTTAAACCCCATATTTCAAAGCTACTTTAAATGTCAAACAGGCCAAACTCGTTTGTTTTCAAGCAAGAGATGAATTGAATTCTAAAAGAAAATTTCACAAGACATGTTAAATTTAGTGACTTAAGTGTGCTTCTTCCCATGTTGTTGAGACTCTGGCATATATGGTGACAGCAACTGATTTTCTATGCAATTTTTCTTTAATGCTTATTTTGCAGGAGTATGTTACTGCAGGTGATGCTGGTATCATCCCAGCATATGCAGCGAAAACACAAATAACTTGAACATGGCAGAAAAACAGTCAATCAGCAATTTACAGATCTGCCTGGAAGCAAGGGCTTAATACCAAAAAAAAAACCCAAAAACAAACTCCAACACCAAAACTAAAACAGAGACAGAGAAAAAACTATACTGAATCTTACGGTCATGTAGTTATTTCAGAGCCTTTGAATGAGTCCGATAGCCTGTAAGTTTATATGACTCATTGTATGGTAAGAATCACATCCCTTGGGCTTGTACGAGAGCATTCTCCATCATAGTATTTGCAAATTATTTTTCACAAAGTAATGAAAACCAAAACCTCTCAAGTATTGTGACATACGGTTAAAAAAAAAGCCAAAAACAGTCGTGTCACACAGATTTTGCATTGCCTAGTTAACCGTCTAACTACACTTTGCCTCAAAATGCAGAATTCTGTTTTATTTGTAAACGTACATAATTACTCTGAAATCCCTATTTAGCCATAATTTGTGCTTTATTCCAGGTGTGGTCTCACTAATTTCACTAGGACAACTCTCAAATTGGTAATTTAATGAACCTGGATGGTAAGAGTCTGGACCTTCTTCATTACTACATCCATTTTGTCTAAAACGTCCACGAACCGTATGGCAGGATCAAAAAGTAACGATGATCGGCAACTTCCACTTCCAAAATGGTACAAATGAAAAAGTGTGGCCTGGAGCTTTTGTACAGACAGACAGGGCACTGAAAATCATCACACTTTGTGCTAGTGAACCTTAGGCATCGTTGAATCTTTAATTCCATTAACAGGTATTAGCAGGGGAGGTGCAAATGCTACGCTTCTTCCCCTCGCAGTTTAAAATAATTCTCAATTTCCTAAAGCATCCCAACACTTTGGAAGCACCACTCCCAGTCCCACTACAGTGCAAGTTGTTCCTCAGCTCACTCCCATTCACAAGTGGTTCAGGGCTAGAGTTAGGCTTGGAGAAAACACCTGAAAAGTCAGGGCAATCTTGAGTGTTTTATTTGTACTATCCAAGAGCTTCCCGAGGTCTCAAGAAAACCTTTTGCTTTTTTACTCACAATGTATCCCTCAGTTCCTGCATTACAAGAACTGATTCCCTCCTCTCCTGTGTAAGGTGAATAACAGGGAGCCTAGTTATTCATGTCTAGGCTCAGATGTCTTATACATGTGTTAGACCAACAGATGTATTAGAGAAAACATTTTCATCATTTGAATCATTCCATCTTCCATTTTGTTAGTATAATGGGAGCAGAAGAGGACTTTTCATTTGAAATTTCTTCAGCTCAACAGACACGTATGGTTTTTGTTTGTTTGAGCATAGTATTAAAAACAACAACAAAAAAATCCCCCAACAGTATATCTTCCTATCCATATAGTCCTTCTCCCTACTTAGATTAAAACAGATTCGATGCACTTAATATTCTGCATTCATTTCTAAAGCATATTTTCCATCGAATATACAGTTCCAATAAGAAGTCCTTAGAGAATGTTGCAATGCTTCAAAACCAGTCTTCTGAGTGTCAGGAACACTGGCACTGTTTCTCTGGCAGCTTAATGAAGAAGAATCCAGATTCTGCTGCTTACTGATGAATGCTGAACTCGCAAAAGGAGATGACGATGTTTATGTGGCTCCAGCCCTCTCAGCCAGGCGTTCGCTGGGACCCAGGCTGCAGCACAGAGCAGATGATGTCGGGAAGATGGCAAAGAACAATGTATGCAGGGTTGATAATGACTTGAGAATAGAGCCTCTGAATGTAGGCTACCAAATTCTCTCCTGGCATTATCACTAACACAGGTACAAGCTCTACAAAGCAAAGGTGTATGTCCAGCAAGGACATCAAGTGAGTTCATAAGACTTCTCTGCTCTAGACACTTCTCATGTTATTTTCGAAAGAGGATGGTCAGTGACAGTTCCCTGTAAAGTCCTTGTTGTCTCACATGTTGCAAAGATTAAACTCCATTTAACTGTCTGCTGTGGTTTTGCCTCAATTTGCATCAAAGAGCCACACAGTTACTCTCTCACTCCTTCCCCCTCCCCGGTGGGATGGAGAGGGGAATCAGAAGGAAAAAGGCAAAAACTCCTGGGTTGGGATGAGAACAGTTTAACAGAATGGCAAAGGGAGAAGAAAACAACAGTCAATAATACTGATAAAAAGCATACACAACACACAGTGTTCGCACCACCCGATGTTCAGCTTGTTCCTGAGTAGCAAAAGCCTCTCCTTCAGCCAGCTCCCCACAAATACTGAGTGTGGCATCACATGGTATCGAATGTCCCATTCGATTGGCTGTTTGGGTCAGCCCAACCTGCTGCTTGTGAAAGTTAACCCTATCCCAGCTGAACCCAGGACACTGTCCTAGACCAAACCAATCTGTACTGCAATCAATATAATCTATAAAGTATAATTTGGATTCTTGAGATCTGCATACATTCTGAAGTCTAAGGCAGATTATTTTCTTCTGAAAGTCCACTGATCTGGGATCTGGAAAATATGGGGAAATATTACTGCTTTGCTCTGCTCCACAGGGCAGAGACCTGGGGACTTAACAGGAAGGCATTACAGGAAAGACCTACAGGCTGCTAAGACAAATTCATGCTTTTGAAAAAGTACCTTGGAATAAAGAATAACTCACAGAAATATATTATTAATAATAACCAATTTGGTCTACTTGTTTTCCTCTTAACGGTAGCTGCAGCAGAATGCCTCTAGGCATTGAGAA